TGATATGACTTGCACAGCTAAGTTACCTCTCTCAGTGTTGGTTCCTCATCTGTGAAATGGGGCTAATCATTTGTTTTATTGAGTGCCTTCTAGGCCAGGTGCTAGGAGAGAAGTAAGGGATACAAAGAAAGACAAGGCACCATTGCTATCTTCAAGAAGCTCATACTTTCCAAGGAAGTAAAGGCATGGACACCCACACAGTGCTGTGGAATTAAAGAAGGCGGCATGCTGTAAAGAGCCCCAGCTTTTCCCCTAGGCAACATCAGGGGCTCAGTTCCTTTCCCTCACTTTCGTCTTTAAGAATTTCTCTTAAATGGATGTGGTGGCACATGCCTGTGGTCCCAGCTACTCAGAATGCTGAGGCAGGAGGATCCCTTGGGTCCAGGAGGTCAAGGTTGCAGTGAGCCGTAATTGCACCACTGCACTCCAGCCTGGGCAACAGAGCAAGACCCTGTCTCAAAAAATTTAAAAATTAATTAATTAATTAACTTTTTCCTCCTAACTCACTCCACCTTATTGGCTTGAGGGTCAGTTTGAGGGGTCCAGACTTCCTTCTTCCTTTCTAGCCATAGCTCCCTGACACAGTATACCCAGAGATGTATGTGTTTCTCCCCACCCTGGGCACAATTTTTTTTTTTTTTTCCTGAGACAGGGTCTCGTTCTGTCATCCAAGCTCTAGTGCAGTGGTACAATCATGGCTTACTCCAGCTTCGACCTCTCATGGTCAGGTGATCTTCCTGGCCAACATGGCGAAACCCTGTCTCTACTAAAAAAACTACAAAAATTAGCCGGGACTCCAGGCATGCACTACCATGACCTGGCTAATTGTTAAACATTTCTTTTTGCAGAGGTGAGGTCACACTATGTTGCCCACACTGGTATCAAACTCCTGAGCTCAAGTGATCCTCCTGCCTTGGCCTCCCCGGGCCTCGCCAAAATGCTAGGATTAAGGTGTGAGCCACTGTGCCCGGCCCTTTTTTAATTTTTATTTTTTTAGAGATGGGGTCTTGCTGTGTTTCCCAGGCTGGTTTTGACCTCTGAGCTCAAGCATCCTTCCACCTCAGCCTCTGAGAATAGCTGGATTACAGGTGCACCCTACCATGTTCAGCTAACTAATTTTGTTTTTCAGAGACAGGATCTCACTATGTTGTCCGGGCCCAGGCACAGTTTCTAATAGAGGAGAGAAGACTTTCAGATATGAGCTCCCACACCTGGCACCAAGATCTTCCTAATTTTCCCCAGACTTTCTCTCCAACATGTCTCTCTTCTCCCGGGTTACTTTACCCAATCATTCTGATCTACTCTTGTTAACTGGGCCCTTCATTAAATAATTTAGCCCTTTACAAAACACACATTAAGTGTGGCATGACAGGCCCAGGCAGCTGTATTCT